TAATTTTCTAAACAATGGTGCATATTCCCTTAATTCAGAATGTTTATAAATATTCTATAAGAGCTGCCAGTGCTTTTTCTAAACACTAAATTGAAATAGACGGTTCACAATTAGGAAATGTTTGTGTCCATTGTCATCCAAGTTCATTTGTACTTGGTTTTTTCTGTTCCGTGCTGTGTAGATGTAAGTGCTCATTCAGATATTGTTTATCTGCTTTTTTGAGGGGCATGGCCAGGGCCTGAAAAAACTCTCATCCACTGGTTCATTCCCCCCAAAGCTGCAGTGTCTGTGGCTGGTCCAAGACAGATCTAGGACTTGGAACTCAGTGCGGATTTATTTCCCACATGTGTGGCAGCAACCCAGTTACTTTGCCCATCCCTGCTACATTCCGTTGTCTGCATTAGTAGGAAGCTGCAGTCAGTAATCAGAGCCAGGAATCAAACCTCAGTACTCCACAGTGGGGGAGATGGACATCTTCACTGCCAAGCTATGGGCCAAATCCTGTTTGTCCTATACAATCATTCAATATGTAACTCCTCACCTTGTCTTTGGTGGGTTTCACATTTTGATAAACAGTATCTTAGCTGCAAACACATAGTCATGAAATCAACACCTATAAATATAGCATTACTATGTTCTGCATTTGTCAATGATTGGAAATAAGGCACTTTGAAGTTAACATTATTCTCCCAAGATGGGTTCCTGTTTTCAGTTCCTAAGCCCTTGCTTGGGTTGGTATTTTATGGATTGGAGATTTATGGGCATTTTAAATAGATTTGTTTTTAATTTTAATAATTTATTTATTTACTTAGGAAGGCAGAGTGACAAAGAGAAAAAGAGACAAAGAGCGATTGATCTTCCATCCATTGGTTCACCCCCAAAATGGCCACAGTGGTTGGGAATGGACCAAGCCAGAGCCAGGAGCCAGGAGCTTCTTAAATATCCAAGTTTCTGAGCCATCTTCTGCTACTTCTCCAGGTGCCTTAGCTGGCTCGGAAATGGAGCAGCTGGAACTCAGAGTCTCACATGTGGGATGCTGGTGTCACAGGCAGCAGCTTAACCCACTGTGCTACAATGTCAGTCCCACTTATCTATATTTTAATCTTTTAAATGAGTCTTCTTCTAAATTGTGTCTTTACTGAATTATTTTGATGTATTGTAAGACTATTATTACATATTTATTTAGCACCTTATGATTAGTTACTTAGGAACAGCTGAAAGAAAGACAAGGAATAATTTTTAAAAGTTCATAGGAAATAGAATTGAAAGAAAAGATCAAAATAGGTATTTCTTTGTTTTTTTGAAGGACCCCATACATGTAAACATATATGCATTTAACCTTGTGATGCAGTAAATAGTTATGTAAACATGATGAGTTACTCTTGAAAGCAGCACTATAAAAGGAAAGCAGAATTTTCACTGAGTTCAGAATTCTACCCATGCTTCCAATAGTCCGTCTTGCAAGCTCTCTTACAGAACTCACAGTATGGGCTCCCTTGCTGTGGGGCATGAGTAGAGAGTGAGGGTCCATTTCCCATTCCTGCCCAGTGAGCATAGAGGGCTGAGGCTCTCTCCTCGGGACTGTTGGATGACGTGCAGCCCTGCCTGCTCTAATACACATGATTCTGGAAGGAGAACACACAGGTACAGTCTTCTGTGTGCTGAGACTAGTAGTCTTTTTATTTATTTGTATTCACTTGAAATGCAGAGAGATGAGACAAACAGGGAAAGATTGCTGGATCACTGCCCAAATGCCCACAACAAATGTTCCCAGCAATTTCTTTTTTCTGCTTACCAAGGTAGTACCCATTTCACTCCATAATGCATTTTCTTTGGATTTTTAATGAGTGTTGTCAGCTCATTAAGATTGAAAAATATGCATTTGGCCACAGTGATATCAGTGACATACAGAATAGGAAGCCCAGGTCTTCATTTCCCACATGATGGCAAGACTTAATATACAGGGACAAAATGCCTGTGTCTGGCCTCTAACAAACCAGCTAAGAGACTGCATCACCCTAGGTGTGCACAAAACCAGCAAGAGCTGTGTCCAAGTTTGTAAGAGAGCTCCCTGCATGTGTACAACCAGGCCCTCCCTGCCCCAGAGGCAGTATGGCAGAGAGAAAATCCTCAACTCCTAACATCTCTCATGGAAGAGAAAGAGCAGGTGGAGTGTTCAAAGTCCTGTCTTCTCAGAAATGCCTGAGGAAGGAGTTGATACCTGGCCTGTCTTGGGCACTTTTGGTAATGACAGTGCTACATGGGAAACAATGAACAAGGGAGGGCACCTAGGAACAACCCCCAGAGGAATTTCAGTGCCACAGGCAGACACCAAGTGGAAGAGGAAATGACGCACTCTTGAGGACAATGGCAAAACTCTCTAACTGCAAAACCACACACACACACACAAGCCCAGAGATGATGCCTCCCCAGAGAAGGCTTGAGGGTTCCCCAGGATGTCCAACATGTCTACCAGTAAAGGTCTTTCCCTTCATGAGGCCAATCTGTAAGGAACTGGACAGCCTTTTTTTCTTTTCTTTTTTTTTAAAGATTTATTTTTTTTGAAAGAGTGACACAGAGAGAGGAGACACAGAGAAAGAGAGAGAGAGGTCTTCCATCCACTGATTCACTCCCTGATTGGCTGCACTGGCTGGAGCTGCGCTGATCCGATGCCAGGAACTTCTTCCAAGTCTCCCACACACATGAGAGACCATCTTCTGTTTTTCCAAGCCATAGCAGAGAGCTGGATCAGAAGTGAAGCAGCCAGGACTTGAACCGGCACCCATATGGGATGCCGGCACTGCAGGCGGCTGCTTTACCCATTACACCACAGAGCCAGCCCCTCCTGATTTTTCTAAGACTCCAGTCTCAGCAGAGAACACAAACAATGCATAGAAACAAATAAGGCATGAAGGAACAAATTTCATCTGCAGAAATAAAACCACCTGCCCTTCTTTAAAGAAATGGAGATATTTGATTATCCCACAGCAAGTTCAAAATAACCATCTTAAATATTGTCAGTATGTTAAGAGATAACACAGACAAATCATGAAAACTATGTATGAACAAAATGATAATAAAGAGACATAAACTATAAATGAAACAAATACTGGAGATAAAGTATAACTAAATGGGAGTAAAGAAATACAGTGTTCAACAGCAGACTGTATCAAGGAGAAGAAAGGCTCTGGCATTTTTTTACCATCCAAATTATTGTTACTGACAGTTATACCTTTAAACTTTTTATACCCAAATAGATTTAAATGTACAAAACAAATTATGAGGTAGTAATACAGGGCATGCCCATATGCCCCTCATGCCTTTTCCTTCACTAACATCTCATATTAGTTGCTTTGTCCCAATTAATGAATCATACCCAGCTTCCCCTGTTTTTAACTCCAAAAAGTGTTTAGTTTACACTCACTGCTAGACTCAGCTAATCAAAACTTTTTCAGATTGAGTTGTTTTTTTCCAACTATTATCAAAAGAATGGAGGAAAAAAGAATGAAGAGAAGTAAAGAGGCAGAGAGATTTAAGGGATAGTATGGGTAGACCAAGTATACGTTCTGGGAGTTCCACAATAAGAAGATGGAGAGCGTGTGGCAGAGAACCAACATGATGAAATAATGACTAAAATGTAAAACTTCCCAAATTTGAAGAAGGAAGTAGACAAACATTCAAGAAGCTCAATGAACTCCGATTATAATAAATCCAAAAGACTTAACACCAAAACAAATTATAATCGAACTGTGCAAAGTCACACAAAGAAAGAAAATCCTGAAACAGTGAGAGAAAAGTAGCTCATCACCTACAATGAAGCTCCTAAAGAATTGTTGTCAGTTTTCATCATACACTTAAGATCCTTAGAAATTCTCTTCTCAGTATTCATACACTTGAAGAAATCAGAATCTCTGGTGGAGAGGCCCAGGCCTGAGTATTGCTAAAGCTCCCTGGTGTTCCCTAAAAATGAGCAGCACTACATATTCTCACAGATAATGAAGGGTGACACACATGTGTGTAAGATACATATGAATTTTGGAAAATATGGAAACTTTAAAAACACAAAAGGAGGGGCTGGAAATGTGGCAAAACAGGCAAAGCCACCACCTGGAGTGCCAGCATCCCATGTGGGCACCAGTTCTAGTCCCAGCTGCTCCACTTCCAATCCAGCTCTCTGCTGTGGCCTGGGAAAGCAGTGGAGGATGGCACAGGTGCTTGGGCCCCTGCACCCATGTGGGAGACCTGGAAGAAGCTCCTGGCTCCTGGCTTTGGATTGACACAGCTCTGGCCATTGTGGCCAACTGGGGAGTGAACCAGCGGATGAAAGACACATCTCTCTCTCTCTCTCTCTCTCTGTCTCTTTCTCTTTCTCTTTCTCTTTCTTTTTCTCTTCTCTTTTTCTCTTTCTCTTTCTCTTTCTCTTTCTCTTTCTCTTTCTCTTTCTTTCTCTTTCTCTTTCTCTTTCTCTTTCTCTTTCTCTTTCTCTTTCTCTTTCTCTTTCTCTTTCTCTTTCTCTTTCTCTTTCTCTTTCTCTCTCTCTCTCTCTCTCTCTCTCTCTCTCTCTCTCTCTCTCTCTTTCTCTTTCTCTTTCTCTTTCTCTTTCTCTCTCTTTCCTGCCTCTCCTCTCTTTGTGTAACTCTGACTTCCAAGTAAATAAATCTTAAAAAAAAAAAAAATGAAGCCAGCGCCATGGCTCACTTGGTTAATCCTCTGCCTGCAGCACTGGCATCCCATATGGGCGTCGGTTCTAGTCTCGATTGCTCCTCTTCCAATCCAGCTCTCTGCTGTGGCCTGGGAAAGCAGTGGAAGATGGCCCAAGTGCTTGGGCCCTGCACCCTTATGGGAGACCGGGAGGAAGCTCCTGGTACCTGGCTTCAGATAGGCGCATCTCCAGCCATAGAGGCCATTTGGGAAGTCAACCAATGGAAGGAAGACCTTTTGTTCTCTCTCCCTCTCTCCCTCTCCCTCTCTAAGTTGCCTGTCAAATACATAAATTAAAAAAAAGAGTTGTTCATCTGTCTAGGATGTCTGCATTAGCAACAGGAACCTATAGTATCATAGGATTCAGACATCCTGTGGTTAACATGAACAAAAATTCTATAATGCTCTCCACCAAAAACACCAAAAGAGGCCACTTTAAGGCACATGTATGGAGAGAAAAGAGCCTCAAATGCCATGGAATGAGGGAGGTGAGATGTGTAGTTCTAGAACTAAGCTTTGCTGCTTTTCCAACCAGTACTCCAAATGCACGGCACTGAGACTGTGTTGCTGAGGAGCCTCCAGATGGCCCTCTTGATGTCCCTGTTCCTCAGGCTGTAGATAAAGGGGTTGAGCATGGGGGTGACCAGAGTGTACCCCACTGAGGCCAAGGCACCCTCCCCCAGAGAAAGTGAGAAAGTTGAACTGAGATAGACCCCAAGGCCTGTTCCATAAAATAAGCAAACAACTGTCAGATGAGAGCCACAGGTGGAGAAGGCTTTGTACTTCCCACCTGGTGATGGGACCCTCAGAATGGAGGAAACGATTTTATAATAAGAGAAGAAGAGTGCTGACATAGGGAGAAAAGCATATACGACACCAACCAAACATACGAATATGTCATGAATGATTGTGTCAAGGCAGGTGAAGTTGAGAAGCTGTGAAGGGTCACAGAAGAAACTGGAAATGTCAACATCCTTGAAGCAGGTAACTTGCAAGACCATCAAACTGTGCAGCAGGGAATCCAAAAGGCTGGCCACAACTGACACTGAAACTAAGAAGCCACAGTGTTGGGGGTTCATGATGACCTGGTAATGAAGAGGGTGGCAGATGGCAACAAACCTGTCATAGGCCATCACTGTCAGAATGAAATCATCCATGCATTCAAAGATGATGGAAAAAGACATCTGTGTCAGGCAGTCCACATAGGAGATGACTATGCTGTGAGTGTGGATGTCCACAATCACCTTGGGAACCGTGGTGGAGGTGAGACCCATGTCAGCCAAGGACAGGTTGCAGAGGAAGAAGTACATGGGGGTGTGGAGGTGGGAGTCTGAGATGACAGCCAGGATGATGAGCAGATTCCCGAGCACCGTGACCAAGTACTTGGACAGGAACAGCACAAAAATGAGGAGCTGTAGGTCTGGATCCTCCGAGAATCCCAAGAGATGGAATTCTGAGACACGTGTAAGATTTTGTGTTTCAATATAACCTGCATTCCTTCTGGACAAGAAAATAGTGTTTGTAAAAGGAAACTGATGAACAGGCATCCAGCACTCTGTATAAGTTTTCAACTCAACTAGTCATAGATATAGTTCAAGAGTAACTCTAAGGTTTATATAATAAACAGAATTAAAAGAAAATGTTAACCTGGTGCTATACAGTTTTGAAATTCATAATTTTTATGATGTGTTTTGCCTTCTTATTTACACTGGTAAGCATACAACTTCTTCCAGTCTTCTCAACCGTAACACACTCAGGCTTCTTAGGGTGCTTACATGATTGGTTTTCGTGTTATTCAGCTCCTTCCATGCATATCTACTTTAGAGACACTCAAATGAAAAATTTTAGAAGACCATAAACATTAGAAGGACTCAGTCCATGATCACAGTCAATTGTAACTTATTCTTTGAATTCATTTTTAGTTTTTTAGTTTTTAGCGGATTTAATTTAGTTCATAGACACAATATAATAATATTCACTCTTCATTCCCTCCTCGCTCACTTTTTTCCTTTTTGAGATAATATATTTTGAATCTACAATATGTTATTCTATACTTTTAATGATCAGTGATTACTTTAACATTTACTATCTATGGGTGAAATGGTCATCTTTCCATTCAATTACTACTTATATCACTTGCCTATATTTCTGTTGAACTAGGGTCTTTGTGCTTTTCTACTTGCTAAATTTTCATTTGGTGAAGCACCATTTGCTTTTAAAAAGGAAGAATAAAAAGTGTCCCTATTTGGAAAAACATTCTTGCTAACAGTGTGCTGTGTACCTTATTTTCTTGTAACCAACAGTATAGTTTACTTGACTTGAAATAATTATAATACCCTTAATAGCTAGAACTGCATTATCTAATCACCAAATTAAAGTTGGGTATTCACAATCAGGAAATATTGCTGGGTATCAGTTGCCCTCTAGGGTTTTATCATTCTTAGCTCTTCTGATTGCCCTCCTTTGTAGATGGAAGTAGTCACTCAAGTATTGTGTGTCTGCTTGTTTTGAGAGGCAGAGACACAGACAGATAGAGATTTGAGAGTTTCCCTCCACTGGTTCACTGCCCCAAATGACTGCCATGGCTGTGACTTCTCCCATTCAGAAGCTTTGGGAAATAGAATTCAATCCAGGCCTTCCACATGTGTGGCAGTAACCCAAATATTTTATCATCACCACTACTTCCTATCATCTGCAGTAGCAGGAAGCTGGATTGAGGAGCCAGATCTGGGAATCCAACCCAGGCATGCCAGTGTGGGAGGTGGGCATCTTAACCGCAATGCTATATGCCCACTCTCAGTTGTCCTTTAGCATCATTTACTATATAACTCCTTTCATTTGTTTTGTGGACTTCAAATCTTGATAAAAGTAGTTTGATGTCACATGGTTATGTGTACACAGATAGTGACTTCCAATGTAACACTACTACACTAGGCACCTGACAGTGATGTAAAATAAGGAACTTAAAGGGCCATCGGCATTTTTCAAATATTTTAATATGCACCCCTTATAACCTCAGGTTTTTTTTTCTTAAAAAAATGCTATATAGATGATGTTTGCTTTAAACTTGTTTAAAGCTTTTATTCTGTTTCCTTTCATGGCCTGGTCATTCTGCTTTTGGTTTTTCTGATCAAAAACCTTCTTGCCTATAGTTGAAGTAAGGGAGATCAGGGAAGACCCAGCACCAGCTTTGAGTTCCCATCATCCTATGTAGAATTCAAAGATTTTCATGACGCCATTTCCTGATAGTTGGATTACAGTTCTCTAACTTCAGTTGCCTAAAGGCAATGCTAATTCATTCCTTGGTCTTGGAACCCAAGACCCAAACCACATGCCTCTTAGATTAAGTGAGTGATTTCAAGAGTTGGGGACAAAGTGGATGGCTGAGGTGAAAGAGAGAGAGAGAGAGAGAGAGAATGAGAATGAAGCCCCAGAATGACCCTGCGCTTGTTCTTTCTCTTATCTGCATTTGAACTCAGCCATACTTTACCTAGTGCTGCTCACTCTGCTCTACCAAGAAACCCCAAGGTAAGATCACAATGAACTGGGGTCCCTTCCTGGAGTGACAGGAAAGAGAAAGAGATGGCTGCTATATCAGTGGGGAATATTGGACATGCTCCCCGTGTCTACAAACTACCCACGTGTCTCAAACATGACTTCACCCTTTTCTACCCCACAGCTTCACACAAGTTACACAAAAACTCAGGGCTCCCCACCTCTTCTGTAAGATAACAATAAATGTGGGCAACAGAACATGGTTTTATGTTGATGAAATGAAACAAGCTACTTAGAACCTAGGGTTCAGAGCCTGGCACTTAGGAAGCCCTCAATAAACTGTGTGATGTTAGGGTCACGGCATCCTCCCCCTCCTCCTCGCCATCACCTTCATGACATTGCTGAGTGCTCAGGGGACAGTTTTAGGTATGCACAGGCTGCTGTCATGAAGAGACTGCCAGTGGTTCTGAGAATCACTGTGGGAGGGAAAAATTCAAAATGAGAAATCTTGGACCCTGATGAGAACCAAGAACATAAACTGGCACAGGCCTCTGAGCTGAAACTCTATGGTTTCCCTCCCAGCTGTCTACCCCAGCTGTCCTGCTTGTCCTGATAATGAGGAAACAGTGTTCCTGACAGCCCCATCAATTTCCACTGTCTCCCTCGGCACTTACTGGGCTGTGCTGAGTCTGAGCAGAGTCATGACCAAGGGTGATGGCTCCACTGCTGCTCTTCTGCCTGGAGTTCAAGGGAGCCTCAGGCTTGGACTCAGGACAGGGAAGGAGACAGACTCAGTCTGGGGCTTCCTGATGCAGACACACACGTGGAGAGGAGTGACCATTATATTTCCTCTGCAATGTCATGGTCTGTAGGCTGTGGCTCATTGCTTGCACTGAGAGGACCTTGGGGGCTCAATGCACAGAGCTCCTAATTAGCCGTAGGCCCATGTAGCCCAGACTCTGATGACTTGCTGATGCTAATGAGAGAAATAGGAGAAAAGTAAGTGCACCTGGAATGTTCTCCAAGGACCGCTCACCTCAGATTCTTGCTGCTGAATTCCAAGATGCAGAATCTTTACATAAAATTCAGACTTCTGTTCTCCATGTTCACAAATCCCAATGTGATTCTTTGAGTCCATTGCAGCAGTATGAAAAGCATGGAGAATTCCATTTTCTATGCCAAGAATCTGAGACTATCTGCATTTTTTCAGTTAGCATTAGTCTCTAAAGACAACTCCTATATTCATTTCCTAAACCCTTGCTTTTGCTGGCATTGAATGTGTTGAAGATTTGTGGGCATTTTAATCATTTAAATGGCTTTTTCTCAATTGTGTCTATGGTTGAATATATATTACCAAGTTATTGATAATTACACATTTATTTGATATTTTATGCATGGAGCTGCAGTATGAAAGGCTGGATATATTTCAAGAATTTGTAGAAATGCAGGATTAAAACAAATTTCAAAATTTTTCCCTCACACTTTTGAAGGGCCCCATATGTATAAAAATATCTTCATTTAACCTTGTGATACAGTAAATAGACATGTAAACATTCAGACTAAGAAACATTGTAGGGGCCAGAGCTGTAACATAGCAGGTCAAGTCACAGCCTGCAGCACCAACATCCCATTTGGGCACCTGTTCAAGTCCTAGCTGCTCCACTTGTGATCTAGCTCTCTGCTAATGCACCTGGAAAAGCAGTAGACTATGGCCTAAGTGACTGAACCCTGTCACATGTGGGAGACCCAGAGGAAGCTGCTGGCTTCAGGCTCAGGCTGGCCCAGCACTGGCCATTTTGGCCATTTGGAGAATGAACAAGCATATGGAAGATATTCTCTCTCTCTCTCTCTCTTCCTCTCTTCCTCTCTTTCTCTCTCTCTCTCTCTCTCTCTATCACTCCTTCTCTTTCTTTAACTCTGTCTTATCAAGTAATCTTTTTTTAAAAAAAAAAAGAAACACTGGAAAAGGAATGCAGAATTCTTACTGATAGTTCCTGAATGCTACCCATGAACCAAGATTTAGAATTCAGGTGTTTGTATTGATACTTTTCTTTTGAGTGACTAGTCAATCTAATTATGTCAACTGCCCTGCCCATGAGGAAACCATACTTCCTACAGTACCTCTTGCATCCACTGTGTCCCACAGAACTCACCTTCTGGGCACCCCTGCTGTAGGACATGTCTGGGGAATGAGGGTCCATTGACTTGTCTTCCCAGTGAGCAATGAGGGCTGAGCTGTCTCCTCAGGACAGTTAGGAAGACAGCCAGGTCTGGGCATCCTAATACAGATGACTCTGGAAAGAGAAGACACAGGCACAGTATTTCCTAGTCTGGAACCAGTATTCTTATTTAAAAAGTCATTCTTTGTATTTGAATGACAAACAAGAACAGAAAGACAAAGGGAGAAAACTTCTATTGACTGATTCACTCCCCAGCCCACAAAACCCAGTGCTGAGTCAGGCAAAGCCAGGAACTGATGATTCATCCTGGGTCTGCCATGTAGGTGGCAGAGCCAGAAATACTTCAGCCATCATCTGATGCATCCCAGGGTGAACAGTAACAAGAAGTAAAAACTGGAAGCAGAGCAAGGACTCAAACCCAGGCACTCAAAACTAAGATGCCTGCATCCCCAGTGGCATCTTAACTGCCATGCCAAATGCTTGCCCCGTGCACTAACATTAAGATTGCACAGGATATTTTCTCAGAATTTCTTGAGCACTTAAGCACTGAACAGTGGGTCTCTGATGTTGGTGTGTAAGCACCACAAGGCTGTGCATCTATCTATCTTCTCCCTAGCATGTTACACAACCCATAAAATGATCTGCTCTCAGCCACATCTTCCTGCAGAACTGTCAGTTGGGTGGGTGTATCTTTGCATCTTGTAGTTACACAGTTTACCATACTGCTCCATGGTGTATCATCAGTCATGTAGTCCAAAGAAATAACCATGATTTCTCTTCTTCCAGCAGCATCTCCCAATGATGTCACAAACAGATGTAGCCATTCAGCAAATGCTGCCAGTACAGAGGCCTCTGATGTTTGCTCTCCAAGTAAATGATCATTGCACACCAGAATGTATTTTCCTTAGGTATTTTAATGTGTGTTATTATGTCATTAAGGCTTTAATGCGGTATACTTTGGAGATTAGTGACATCAAGAAGGTGATGATATAGGAAACTCTAGCTCTTCATTTCCCTCATTGGGATTGGATTTACCAACATTTTGGACCAAATTGCCTTTGTTAGAACTCCACAAACAGTTCAGAGATTGTGTCAGCCTAGATGAGTGCAAAGCCAGGGAGAAGTGTATCAAAATATGTTTGTTCAGCACTCTGGCCTCAGAATCAGCCCTTAAAGCATTCAGAACTGGCTGAAAAGCCCATGACAGTATTTCAGGCATGGAAAGCCAAAACACTCTGGCAAAAAGAAAAATGACCTAAGTGAAAGATCTCTGTGAGTGAGATCCCAGTGGAAAGAACAGGTCATCAAAGGAGGTACCTTTCTCTGAAGGAAGGAGAGAACTTCCACTTTGACTATGACCTTGTCTAAATACAATGAGAGTCGGTGAACTCGGAAGGCCTCCATAGCCTTGGCAACTCATGACTGGAGCCTAGGGTGATTATTGACACCATACACAAGAGTGTCAATTTGTTAAGTCAACAACAGGAGTCACTGTGCACTTACTCCTCATGTAGGATACTTAATGTGCTGTATATTGTGAGTTAATGCTATAACTAGTACTCAAACAGTATTTTACACTTTGTGTTTCTGTGTAAAATGTTGAAAGCTTTACACTTTGTGTTTCTGTGCAAACTGTTGAAAGCTTTACTGAATATATGCTACATTGATCTTCGGTATATAAAGAGAATTGAAAATGAATCTTGATGTGAATAGAAGGGGAGAGTAAGGGGAGAGGGGAGGGTTGTGGGTGGGAAGGAAGTTATGGGGGGAAGCCATTGTAATCCATAAGCTGTACTTTGGAAAATTATATTCATTAAATAAAAGTTGAAAAAAAACACGTTTGTTGCATTTTCCCACTACAGAGCTCCCTGTCCCAGAAACAGCATAGCAGAATGAGAAGAATCCCAGCTCCTGGGAGGGAGTTCCAATCTCTCATGGAAGGGAAAGAGAAGGTGGAGTGTTCATCCCAAGTTCTGTCTTCTCAGGGCTGCCTGAGGAACTGGTTCATACCTTGCCTGCCTTGGAGCTCCCATGGTAATGGCATTAAATAGTACTAACTGCCCTGAGAGGTGGTGCAGTACCACAAACAGACACTAGGGGGAGGTTGAGGCAATGAGCTCTGGAGAACAAAGGCTAACCCCTTTAATTGCACAAATCTCACACAGAAGCCCAGGGAAGTTTTGGGTGTCACCCACAATCTTTAGACATTTGTTGTGAAGGTCTTTCCCTGTTGGAAGCTCATACATAAGGACTGGGAGATGCTTTTTCCCCCAATGCTCAAATATCCATGGAGAGTACGAGAATGCATGGAAACATGGAAATCTCACCTAATCAAATTAACAAACTGCATCTCCAGAGATAAAGTACTACATCTTCCTAAAGGAATGAAGATATTTCATCATCCCACAGCAAACTCACAATAACCACTTAAATATTATCAGTATGCTAACAGATAACACAGATGAAACGTAAAAAAAAAGCAATCAGGAAAATGATGAACTAGCAAAATGGTAATAAAAATACAGAGACATAAACTCTAAAAGGAAAAATGAGCAGAAATATAGAAGATGAAGAACACCATACCTTTATTGGGATATTCAGTGGAGTGTTCAGCAGGTATCAAGAAGAATCAGTGGCTTTTTTAACTTTACAAATAAGTTTTATTGACAGTTGTACATTTTTAACATTTTATTTCAGAATAGGTTTAAATTTA